CACTGCATCAGCAGACTATGAGAGAGCGGGCTTGGTGACATTCGGATCCAGACTCGACATTGGGTTTCAGACATTTTGACGAGGGATTATTTGGGACTTGTAACAAAGACTTGGTGTCGACGACATTCCCATCTCTCCCCCTCTTCTTCGTCTGTGCATGATCTGGACTTGGCGCATTCTTCCTGTGTGTAGCGCCAGGCCCCTTCACACGTTGTGATGAGGATGATGTATGTTTGGTCTGCGTTGCAACATTGATTGGGCTAGTCATTGGTATTCTAGCATTCTGCTGCGTTGTCTTGCACTACGTGATAGAGGTCAGTCCCGGTCAGGACAGGACTTGTATCTAAGTCTTCCCCTGCGCTATAAAGGACCATTTTTGTATGTATCGGAATGTTCACTGCTTGTTCAGATTTCACTTGCACTGTATTGTCCATTCAGTCCTTTTTGTCACATTGCAGATCCTCGGTTATATATGTACATCGCCCAATCGGGCATGTAACAGTTGGTATCGGAACACCGCACGTGAATCAGGACAACCTGATCTGACACGTGTGTGGGGACTAAGTAGCTGATTAGTCTTGATCGATTGCTTAGAGCACACTAGTTAGCTCCCAAAATCACGATTTTGAGCATAGGGGTGAGGAGGACCGTGTGTAAACGTGCGCTAACGAAGCGGCGATAGCGGCGGTGGCGGGGCCCGGTCGTCGGCGGCGGCTGAGTAGGTTGCAACGTTGGTGCATGGGGAATTTCGACGAGGCGCCTACCCTGCCAGGCACCATAGCTGTGTGGGAGCTATGGCGACAGTGCCCTGGCGTAGCCTTGCCCTTGAGTGCGTAGGGAGTGCCTTGCACTCTTACGCCAAGGCATCCTGGCAGCTCCGTATTTGACCTCCATACCAATCTTCATACCAGACAGGATCTCGATACCAGAGGAGCCGTCCTCCCCTCAAGCCTTTTGCTGATAGGGGGGGCAACTTTCTCAACATCCAAAGGCCGTGCGCCGTACTCTCATGACACGCTATCTGTACGAAGTAGCTTGGAAGGCGGGACGATGCAATTGGACGCAGTGGGAGTGCATGCGGCTGCGGTGGCAGCGTTTTGGCAGGTCCAAGAGCTTCAGCAGGTTTCGGTGGACCCATCTATGTCACAAGGCAGTTTGATGATCATTCACTTCAAGTTTTGTTTTCTCACTTAAGTTGGTTCTCTTTGGTTAGAATAGCGCCTGTGAATCGTTACATATAAGACGCTTTTCTTCCGTTCTTGATTATTGGGGTATTTTTAGTTTGTTGTTTGTAGGTTTCTGGAGTTCCGATTGGGCTGTCCACTTCCTTTTTCAAGTATCATCTTCGTAGTAGATATGTTCTGCGTAGTTTTCTGTTTGATGTAGTTTGAAGGTTTTTTGTCTGCCTTTTACCGTTCATTTCAGTCGGGCTGTGCTCTCGCCTATCGCTTGCAATGGTATTGAGTTCTCATGTATGATTTAGATTCACAGTTTCTCGATATTCTTAAGCGCTGGGGTATGTTTGCAGTGGCTTAGGGTGATACTCACAGGGTTGGATGATATGAGAGACCCGGTGAAGAGCAAACTAGAGTTGTATCCATTGGGTGCGTGGTGGGAAACCCGTCTAGGCAACAAAGGCTCTTTACAGCGTTTTGGATAGTGAGGTTGAGAGGGTAACCCTAAT